CATCGTTGGCTAGTTGGTTAGTTGTTATTTAGTTACTTCAATGAGACTGTCTCATACATCTCTATGCATAAATGTCTCTCTCTATATATATGCATATAATGTGTAGGTTATCACGTGTATTAGTTTGGATAAACTAAACGAGTGGAACTGTCCAATCGTAAGCTTGATAGCATGATAATATTGGACCAATATCATTCTTATTATTATTATTATTATTATTATTATCATACTAGATAGTTTAAACGCTCTTCTTCTTCTTTTCTTCTTCTTGTCAATGAAATAAGGTCATTCTAATTAAATTATTGAGTAATATAACATGGATTCATCACAAACTGATCGTTATATTAGCAAAATATAATTAAAGTTGAAACTGTTTGAAGAGACTTTCATTTTATTGATGAAATGTTTGTTGTTGTTGTTGTTGTTGAGGAATCATCATTACTGAGGTTATAGTTGAGAATCTGTTCACTGATATACAATTTATCGTTTCCAAGATCACTTGATCTTTACCTATTCCAATGAATAAATATTTCCCTAAAACTCACAGGTTAGCTCGTTGAATTTGAAGATGATTTAAACGATGTGGATTTATCCATGGATTGAATAGGTTAACAACAACAACAACAACAACAACAACATAAACTAGAACTGTAATAGAGTTATGTATATGGATTATGTATTAACTGATAGTTCAAAACTGATCAATATCCTGTTATTAAGTCTTCAATACAGATGAAACTTTGTTGACTGGATTGTTTATAGGCTAAGCAACTCGATATTCTTGGCCAATTCATTTGATTTTAGACCATTTAAGTTTCAGATTGAAATCATGTGTTAGGAGATATGTGTCTGGTCATATGAAGCTGTGGTTGGTCAATGAATGTGGATTAACACTTATTGCTTCATTTCGTTTCATACTGGCCTAACATTGTCAAGTGTCATATTACAAGTACTAGGCATCAGACCGATAACATATTCCTTATGTGACGTAGTTTATTATGTCAGAGATTGATTATTTTTCATGGGAATCTAGTATTAGTTTAATTGGAATATCTCTATTGTTCGTCTGAGGAAAACAATTGTGCAAATAATCACCACGATCAGACAAGTGATCAGCTCGCTATTGTAACCATGAATTCTCTCATAAATTTCAGTCAGCTATTCATATGAATAGAATACGGTTACTGAATGCTTCATAAATATTCAATGAGATGAGCAGTTTGTGATGAATGCTTATAATCTCCATTCAATGGGTACTGTGTTGTTCGGTTGAATTGTATAAAGTAATAAATACTAGAGAAATCACATAGTTACCTGTTGAGATGGATAAGATCGATAGTGATTCCCATGTATTGTCGGTCACAGTATGCGTTGTTTATTGACCGATTGAGCTAGTATTGCTTCAGCCTATATAGTTCAAACAACAGCAATATGCAACGTGTTTCTTTCTATTGGTTGTGCATGACTTCGGTTCAGTGTTCAGATGTTGTAGATGTCGAATCCGGTGAACCTGATAGAAAAGTGTCGTGTCTATTATCATATGATGGTCTGTCACTGTATAGGCGGATGTGCAGAAAGAAATCGTGTGTTCAGTCCTATTTAATGTGAAAGCGATTCTCTAGATTACAGTGAGACGAGTAAAGACTAATGACTTATTTATTCAGCAGTTTAAAAATCCCCATAGAATATTCAATAATGAAGAATATTTGAGCAAACAATTGTTAACACATAACATTGTTAAATTAATTAATACATGCTTTATTTTTGGCCTTTGTAAAATATTATAATTATGGACTTATAACTGTAGAGACTGATGATGAAGTTATTGAAAACAATTGTTCGCTCAAATATTCTTCACTTATTTATTCGTTAGTAAGTTAGTTCGTTAGTGAACTGTTTCCACCACCCAAGAACAAATCAAACCTGCAACCATCAAGTCTCATGAAGAGCATTATAAATTCAAATAGTCAGATCGGAGTGCTGCAATTTTGTGCTCTCGAATTACTTCAATTCGGTACATAGTTCATTCATGATACATTGTCATCACGACATATTTTTCTCACTCGTAACACGGCTTCCCTTCACCAATCACAATTCCCTAAATGAACTTCAGAAATCCATATGAAAGTAATTTATTGTTAAGCACCTGATAAACACCAAAGTAATGTACAAGGTTATGGTGTGAGAATTATCTAGAACTTCATATTTTCTACAACTAATTGTCAGCTAATGTCAGTCAGTAAGGAAAAAATGTCTGTAGGCTCTATCCATGGAAACAAAGTGCAATCTAAAGGCATATTTTTCAAAAATGGTCGGTTTCATACTAATTAGACATAAATGACACATAATTAGCTCTTTTCAAGTTTTCTCAATCTATAGTTTAATTACTGTCTGGTGTGATTTGCATAGCAAACATTATTGCTTCATAAAAAGCTTAACACAATTTGTTTTATGTCTAAAATATTCACTAAATTTAACCGATATATTAAGGTAGAAGGTTTACCGTTTACAAAACTGATTGACTTAAAATTATTTATTCTACAATTAACACAACAAAATTAGATATTCAGTTAAATTTCAAAGTAAACTCTAAACACCGATTTGATCATCAATAAATTGAGTGACTGAACTGACTGGTTTTATTATGATGAACAGATCAAAGAGGAACAATCCGACGATTTCATTTTAAGCGGTGATTTATTAAAGTCATTCAAAAATTCTTCTTTTATTCTATACTTATTTCTTATTCTTCACCTCTTAAGGTTTATATTCTTGACTATCTGTCTATCTACAAAATTACTACTACTACTACTACTACTACTACTACTACTACTACTACTACTACTACTACTACTACTACTACTACTACGACTACCACCACTACTACCACTACTACCACTACTAATGGGTGTACTGGTGGGGATAATTGAATGTATTTGAATACAAAATTACAGATCGTCATGATAAAATCTGAGAATCATACAGTAAATACTTCATTTGCAAAATGTTCATTTTTTGTCTCAGACATTACTGTTCCAGTATTTCTATACCAATTGGTTTCTGTTCCCGTTCTTTCCTTCTCGCTCTCCTCTACCACCTGACTAAATTTATATACTACTTTTGTCGACATAAGTAGCACACACAAACCACTACTACTATTAATACACCTGTTTTTCTACTATCAATTTGTTCTTCTTACTTATCATATGTAGTTATGTAATCTGTTTCACTGAGATCGTTCACTAGTAAATTGTCTTGAATAATTCAATTTCTTCACAAATCAATATCAATATTCATGCATATTAGACAAAGGTCTAATGGCTACCTAGTCGAAAGCAACATTGTTCACTTATATTTGTTGCTCAAATCTATGATGAACAAATGGACACTCCTAAAGAATTCTACTGCAAAACTGAATGATTTGAATTTGAGGAAGCTTTCAACTTTCCATCCGCCTATACAGTGACAGACCATCATATGATAATAGACACGACACTTTTCTATCAGGTTCACCGGATTCGACATCTACAACATCTGAACACTGAACCGAAGTCATGCACAACCAATAGAAAGAAACACGTTGCATATTGCTGTTGTTTGAACTATATAGGCTGAAGCAATACTAGCTCAATCGGTCAATAAACAACGCATACTGTGACCGACAATACATGGGAATCACTATCGATCTTATCCATCTCAACAGGTAACTATGTGATTCTCTCTAGTATTTATTACTTTATACAATTCAACCGAACAACACAGTACCCATTGAATGGAGATTATAAGCATTCATCACAAACTGCTCATCTCATTGAATATTTATGAAGCATTCAGTAACCGTATTCTATTCATATGAATAGCTGACTGAAATTTATGAGAGAATTCATGGTTACAATAGCGAGCTGATCACTTGTCTGATCGTGGTGATTATTTGCACAATTGTTTTCCTCAGACGAACAATAGAGATATTCCAATTAAACTAATACTAGATTCCCATGAAAAATAATCAATCTCTCACATAATAAACTACGTCACATAAGGAATATGTTATCGGTCTGATGCCTAGTACTTGTAATATGACACTTGACAATGTTAGGCCGGTATGAAACGAAATGAAGCAATAAGTGTTAATCCACATTCATTGACCAACCACAGCTTCATATGACCAGACACATATCTCCTAACACATGATTTCAATCTGAAACTTAAATGGTCTAAAATCAAATGAATTGGCCAAGAATATCGAGTTGCTTAGCCTATAAACAATCCAGTCAACAAAGTTTCATCTGTATTGAAGACTTAATAACAGGATATTGATCAGTTTTGAACTATCAGTTAATACATAATCCATATACATAACTCTATTACAGTTCTAGTTTATGTTGTTGTTGTTGTTGTTGTTGTTAACCTATTCAATCCATGGATAAATCCACATCGTTTAAATCATCTTCAAATTCAACGAGCTAACCTGTGAGTTTTAGGGAAATATTTATTCATTGGAATAGGTAAAGATCAAGTGATCTTGGAAACGATAAATTGTATATCAGTGAACAGATTCTCAACTATAACCTCAGTAATGATGATTCCTCAACAACAACAACAACAACAAACATTTCATCAATAAAATGAAAGTCTCTTCAAACAGTTTCAACTTTAATTATATTTTGCTAATATAACGATCAGTTTGTGATGAATCCATGTTATATTACTCAATAATTTAATTAGAATGACCTTATTTCATTGACAAGAAGAAGAAAAGAAGAAGAAGAGCGTTTAAACTATCTAGTATGATAATAATAATAATAAGAATGATATTGGTCCAATATTATCATGCTATCAAGCTTACGATTGGACAGTTCCACTCGTTTAGTTTATCCAAACTAATACACGTGATAACCTACACATTATATCCATATATATAGAGAGAGACATTTATGCATAGAGATATATGAGACAGTCTCATTGAAGTAACTAAATAACAACTAACCAACTAGCCAACGATGAACAGTTTAGAATCTTATTGTTTATCATTTAAAACTGGTGCAATTGTAGAGAATCCAATGGTTTGATTATCATATTGAACTATTAAGGTGTTTTTCTTTCAAATAATACTAGAAAACTCTTCCATCGAAATGGAAAGCATGGAACACATTAATTGATCGATTGCCGGAACTATCGAGAAATCGCAGTTTGAGAAAAGAAGTAGAATCAGTAAGTAATTGATGATATTATTTAGTTGTTTTGTTTTCCTCAAATTATTTTATTGCAAACATAGATTTAATACTGAAATATTACGCATATTTGAGTTGTTTTAACTGAGAGAGGGTTGTGGGGCCCTTTATTTTGACGTCAATTAGATCGGACGATGTTGTCGACGGGCTCACCACTTTAATAACCCGATATCTGTTTTGTAAATTACTTCACTGTAAACATAGATTTTGTGCTATAATGTTGCGCATATCAGAGGTGTTTTATTTGAGTGCACGAAATTATTACGTAATGTTTACAAGGCAATTAAATCTGGAAACATATACAATCGTCTATAGTAATCTAACTCACATGAATCATAAATGTGTTTCTGATATACATAATATTTCAAAATAGAAGAATTCCTGTATGGACACTGAAGTGATGCGTCCTGATCGATTCGATCCCGTGTCAAATATCATGGAAGCCAGGTCACAGGTTTCCTGTCGACCACCTCGAATCGCCATCTCAAGAGAGATATTATTGATAATGTACTGGAAAACCGTTTGATTATGTCAATTCAAAAGAACTTCACCTTAATAATTATTTATTTCCAACATTCCCAATATCGCCCTTCAACTGCCAGTCATTCATTAGAAATTATGTATTCAATTCCACCAAGCATATAGTTATTCGAACACCTTTATTGTGTATATGTTTATTGGAAAAGAATTCCTTATCATAACCAGTCACCTTATAACTGAGTAGATATTTCAATTCGGTTTCAATATGACAAAACTATTATCTATGTATATATATATTTGTAAATGAGTGTGAGTTGTCATAAGCAAATATGGATAATGGCAAGTAGTGGAATCCACGATGCGCGATTCTTCCCATTTAGGACTCGTCAGATGGATATGACAACAATGCTGAGACACAAGCGAACAACACTGAATGAATTTAAACTTCACCCCATTGCACAAGCACATGGCTATCAGGAATCAGTAGCTAATTGGGTAACACGATGTCGTTTGAAGTGACCAGTTCTGAGTCCGAGTCCCAGAGTGAACATCTACTGTGGGATGCAGATTCTTATTGCTGACCAGTCCTAGATAGGACGAAACTTGCGTCCTCCATTCCACTGCTAGTCACTATCCATATTTGCTTATAAAGCTTGTGACGTGATGCAATGTTCAGACAATCCACACACGATTCACATATGCCAACAAGAGATGGATCAATTGCAGACATAAACAATACTGGGAAGATACGAACAAACAACACCAAGTGAAAGTGAATTATGTTCAACTGTAAAATTCTGTAATCAGTCATCAATGTTTCTAAGAACACAATCTTAGATGATTACGGGAAAGTGTTTTGGAGAATTATTAGTCTGGTCGAAATCTATATTGGGTACAAGTTTCTTGTCGATCTGTTAAGAATGCATAATAATTGGTTTATAACAATTATAAAGGTCGAGAATTGTATCATCCGTGCTTAGGGAAACAATCAGAGAATATTGATTCACATATTTATATTACTCCTAAAATATCTTCTCGGAACTACAAGACTCATTCATTTCAAATATCATCAAATGTCCTCTACTTACTAATATTTATTTATACTTTTATTGGTGCATTTCTGAAACAACACGTTCGTATAAGCACTTTCAAACTTATTCCTTCAAGTAGAATGCAGATCCTGTGTTCATATATGGAGAAAATGTGATGATTCAATTCACTTCTCATTTTAAGTTTATTGTCGACCTCCGGTCTACCCACTGAGTTTATATATAGATAATTCTTATTATATGAAAACTGTGAGAAAATGTCGTTGAAATATACAGAGTAGAGATTTCAGACTTTCTGATACATACTTTCACTCTTGAACATTTAATGCCGTCCATTAATTTGCTCATTGCTGCACAATCACTTCAATGAAACACAATTGAAAAAGATCATCAGATTACAGATTAATAGTAATAAATGATTAGTAAAATTACTTGTACATTCTTGTAACTCAAATAGTCAACTTTTCTCCTAGTTACCACTTTTAGATTTGGATGGTCTTGATAATCATAAGGAATTGAGATTGGCACATAAAATTCTTGCTTTCATAACTTCTGTTTATGTGTGGCAAGATGGAGAAGGTGGTGAAACAGAGGTAGGTGAATTATTCGAAAATGATATGTGTGTGTTATAGAGATTTGAATAATTATTGAGTTACATCACGCTTCATTATACTTCCATATCTTGGAAGTAATTTTAGCAAAAGCGTAATACACTCATCAGCTATTGTTTTCAATAACTTTATCATCAGTCTCTACAGTTATAAGTCCATCACTATTGTGATATTTTTGCAAAGGCCCAATTTTCAGGCATGTATTAATGACTTTGACAATGTAATATGTTAAAAATGGTGATGGTTTGCATCTGTTGTGGTATAACTGCTTCAAGACAGTGTCATTTGTATTGTAGATAGGTGATTTATTGAAGGTCAGAATGAATTGGTGTCAAGTGTCCAGTCACAATCAGCATAATAGTAATGTAGTACAAATGAAAATGGGAAAATTATGTGAATAAAATGCATATTGGGAGAATTTCATCTTGTCAATTGAGATACTAATGATAATAGTTATAATATCTTTGTGTGAATAATCATATGTCATAGGAGGAGTGTTATCAAGGTAATTGCGAAAGAAAAGTGTTCCTATGAATTGGGAAAGATAGAAGATTAAGATAGATGTAATCATGAAATATGAGGGTGAATGGCTTAAAGAGGTTTATAATATTCAGTTTAGGTGTCCGTAATCCAGTTGTCGACCAAGGTAAACATAGAGACTGGATATACCTTTTCTGGATACATAAGTCCGGTTTCCTGGAGTTGGGCCAGATGGCTTCGGCTATGTTGAGTAGCCGTAATCTAGCTCCTTGAGGTAGATATTTCGGAACTAAGGATAAAACAGAGGAAGCTTCTTTTGGTGGAGTTTTGTTCTCCACCAAAATCATCCACCTGAGCTACAAATCTTCTCCACCATCTCAGAGGAAGCTTCCTCTATTTTAACATGATGTTCTCTATCTACCAAGTGATAAACAATAATGCTGTTGATCGATTTATTAACTTCTTTTCCCAACCATGCTGGTACATGTTGACGAACATGCAATGATAAAGCCGTTTGATTACTGCCTACGTTCCTAGCTGCACATGAGCAGTTGAATTGGTATGCACACATGGAGAAGCCCATCATCGGATAACTATCCTTGATTTGTTGTGTAATTACTGGTTTAGTTGAGAAAATCATATGTAGCTTGGTGTCGTGCAAGGTCCTTTCAACAGATCTTTTGAGTCGACGTGTTAAAATATCACTGGCTATGTTCCCTTTAAAAAACAGATTTTGCTGATTGAGTTACAATTTCTTCCTGTTGTATTAGCTTCTACTAGGAATTTTCTGACGAACTTATCTGGATAGCCATTATTTCATAATGTGTATTTTATGGCACGGTCTATCCTTCTAGAAAGAAGGACATCTAGGATATCTACACCATTGTCTTTCTCTTATTCGCTGGTGAATTTAATAGCTGGGTGGACGTTATAGGAAAAGTCTTACATCACTTGTTCATCGATATTTTCATCACATAAATAGTAACAATTACTTATAAGATATGGAATAACTTTAAAAATCGAGTGTTTATCAGAGATAATAAACCAATACTGCTTCTGTGTAAAACACTATTGTCTGGTGTACAAAGATATTGTGGTCATTAACAGTGTCATTGTTTATGTATCTTAATTAGGCTGATAGTGAAATCATCATTGTTTTTGTAGTATTCTGATCGAAAGAAAAAGTAGTTAGCAGGGAAACCAACTGTTGTATGAATGCGATAACACTAACTTTTAAGTGTATTTTACTAGTCTGTTAAATGAATCATAATTAGTTGGATGAACGCAGAATGTTCTGGCATCACAAATGACCCATATTATATAGAGTTATTTTGTTGACAAAATAAAGCTGAATTGTGACTTGCCTTGAAATCTAGTGTGAGAGAATCGTCTTGTTTAGAATTGGTTAGCTAGATGTAGTTGTTGATGAACAAATTATAATTCGAATGTACCACTTACAATGTCAAACTGCAACCTACTAAGCTACAGAATCCAAACAACTATTGACTTTCCAATCAATATGAAGTTGTTTTAGAATGGTGTGTATTTCTCTGTTGTTGATAATAAGGACAGTAACTGTTGAATCTCTGTGGAGTGAACGTACATGGTGAACGGTTTGACAATATGTAACTGTTCAATCAAATGTTTTATTATAGTTATGTTGGAGTAATCATTAAGATTTAGATTTTAAAACGCTAATCTCTGCATAGATTTATGAACTTATTTATAACCAAGTATTTCATTAAATGTTCCACGTAGATATTCATCTCCATACTTGTTCTTGCTCTTAATATAATTTCAGTCATTACCAGTACAAATCGCTAAACCACTATTACAAGTTTCTGATAGACTTGGTATACAGCCCATACTGACCAATGAAGATCTAGTCATATCCAATTGTATTCCTTCAACTTTGCCAACAGAAGAACAAAGTTTGAGGTATTCATTTATTTGACCACATTAATATGGTATATTGTGATGTATTCAGACAGTACTACACTGGTAAATCAATCAGGTTTTAGTCAATAATTCATTTAAAGTGATTAGGTTTTTGGTTGCGGTCATAGATCGTTCGGTTTTAGACTCCGATTGAAAGCCTGGAAGCAGTGGATGTTTGTCTTGTCCAATTATGAGATTCTTGAACAGTGCACATCCACGATGCGGCACCAGACGGACTAGAACCGATTGCGAATGAAAATAGGATACAAGAAAATTGAATTTGATTGAAAATCGCTTTTTGGTTGATTGACAACAGTAGATCATTTGCATACATCACTTCACCTATTAGGAATTACAGCTGTATTTTTGAAGAAAATACATTAAGTTGTGACACATGTTCCGTCACTCACTGTAGCGTCGCTCTTGTACTGATAAATAAAATTCCAGAGACATATTTCAGTAAATCCAAATTTCACCAACATTTCACTATCGAAACGACACTTATCATGTCCATGTTAATTGCATGTTTTTCTCCAGTTTTTTACAATCTATACACAAGCCCACATATCACGGAAGTTGGGAAGCGTTTATAACTCTGAGTGCCGAATGTGAACTATTCTTTGCACCCATATTACTGGTAAGAAGATTAGTTGTATATTTGTTTTGATAAACTAATAGAATTTTTAATTAAATATATCAGAAGAAGAGTTCTCATCTATCACGTTGTATGGATGAAATGGATCTATCAAAAGGTCGATATATATGTAAGGCTGTGACTGTATTTGCCCGTCGTTGGTCAAGTATTGATTGGGAATACAAATTCACGAAATTCATAAGCATATGTTTCGCAAAATAATGTCCAGATTTTCTTTAAGTGTTATTTTAGGATTTGATAAATGAATTTCAATACGTGTATTCCTATCTACATCTTACGTTTAAGGCATTTGACGTTTTAATATCTGTTGGATTATTGAGGCTTCAAACAATTAGCAGCATTGTAATGGATGCTACGCACAAGAATGTTTGTAAGCTGTATGTCGTGACAGTCGTCACAAAGAGTGAATTGTTATTGTAAAACGAAAGCACACAGTAGACTGACCATTTGATGACCACGTTAGAAGACAGTTTGAATGGCAGAACACACTGGGTTATGCAAACACATGATCGGAGACTGGGTATACGTATGATGTAAAGCCTTTGCAATTCCGCTTAACAAACAGTTCATTCGTTAGCTCACTGTCTTCTTCTACACTACGATTAGATGTTAAATAGTCAACTCAGTTGGTCAAAATGTACATACATAGGTCTGTGCAGCTTGCTGTTCTGTGGAGACCAGTTTAATTCGGAAACTCTAACAACTGGTGGTTGTGAGTTGAAATTGAAATCTAAGGATGATACTCCAAATAAACTGAATTTACCGTGGAGTATTCTTTACTTGATGATGGTCTTGCAGATGGTCTATGTTTGTATCGAAATGCATATTAAATAATTTTTTCATCATTAGGTGTTAGTATCATACTCAATACATTTCACGATTCTTGTAGAACTCAAAATATATGTGTCTCACTAGTCTGTCAGTCAGTCAGTCAGCTACAACGTAGGACCAGGCACATATGTGCATCGGTCCAGGTTGCCATACCGCATCAGCACAACAAGATGAACACCGGATTCACAGCAGTGGTTAGGTCAAAGGTGGTAATATATAAGAGAAAGATTGCCTATAGAAATATAGTACAAGAAGAAAGAATTGGTTCGTAGAAAGAAAGATATGAAGTGATTTTAATCTCTTAGTTTAAGGGAAGACAGGGAGTGTATACACCGACGCCATTGTGACCGATTCTGAGCCATGTCACCAAGAATCTCCAACCATTGGTTACGAAAGTCAAGCGGACCCCAACCACTAGTCTGTAATGCAGATTGAAACCCACCAAACGATCTACAATGCAGACAGTAATTTGAGTAATTAATTACTTACAGACAGTTGAAAGAAAACTCTGTATTTATTTTATGACAGCTTGAACTTATCACCAATGCATATTGTTATTCTTGAATGAACAGTCATCCACTGGTGAAAACAGCAACATATTTACTTCCGAAGTTATTTCTTATCAATGCAATTTATGTTACTCATAACATTAATGTCACCATGAGAATGATGATAGATGAATGCTATCTCGCTCGTGATTAATCATCATATGATTTAGATCTTTTGAATTATAAGAACACGGATGAAATGGTAGATGTGATTTAGGTACTCTTTGAGTCGTTCTGATTACCAAAGTTCATGTAAGAGTTCACATCTGCTTTTACATTCTTTAAATAGAAATTCACACACACACGCACAGTTTGTTAGCAGTAATTAGAGAATGGTGTGTTTCTTGTCAGTATAATTAAACAATTCCATATCACGCCATAAATCTTAATAAAGTAGTCATGAATGTTTGAGTGATCCAACAACCTTTCAATTTATTGACCACCAATCAAGTCAGCTAGCAATAAGGTGTTTCACTTGAGATAATTTTGGTCCAAATTTCACATTTTCAATTTTGACTGGATAGAACAGATCAATTCTGTGGTAACAGTTTATAGGTCATCCCTAATATCGAATATTTTCGTATGATTTACCAAACACTTATCGATATGATCATCCTATTTAGGTTATCACTTGATTAGATTCTACTCGAATTACAGATTTATGAACGATATGCCATTGAAACAGTGTCGACTCATTTGTCGAGCGATGACAAAATCTTATTTACTTCATGGATAACATGAATGCATTGTGTTGAGTAGTGAACAATGTGATCGTGTTTTCTGTAAACCGACATTTCATCCATCTGATCTATAAATAACTGATGGTAAGAGTTGAATTTTAGTGAATACTCAGATTAGTTAGAAAGTAAGAAAATGGAACTAGAATGTTATTGTAGAGAACAGATATTTTTCTGTGCACTTCCATTTACCCAGAGGTGATTTGTTTGATACCTTCACTTTATAATATGAAATTGTGTGTAGTAATACATGGTTTGAGCGGTTTATTAGATTTTCGTTGTTCCCAATACATAGACCATTCAAGGATTTATCAATATTGATAGTCATTCTAATCTTTTGATAGAATTTGTAATCGTTTGTAGGAAATTATGAATGCCATTAAAGCTCAAGATCCATTGAATGAGGATGCTATCACAGAATGCTTAGAAAATATAGTTAAAGCGTTTGTACAATTTAGAAATGCATTAAAGAATTTTTATGGTAAGTTGAATACTTTGAACTGTTTCAAAATTTGGTTGAATGGTTTATGGATGAAATGAGTCAGTGAGATTATAATATATGGACAATATTTGAGAGATGTCAAAGTGACCTTGAGAATGTCCGCTTACTAACAAGAGTTGAATGAGGATGATAAAATAGTGTGAGGAATTAGGACTATGATGTATAGTTTGATGTTAGGGTTGTGAATCAGATTTAGATATTTCAACACAAGCTGGCAGCAACTATAATGAGAACTTTGTTCGAATCATACTTTGTTAGGTATCTTTTGTGTTGTTTCGTATCCATTTCTGACAACCTTAAACAAACTTCCTATTCATGTGATCGACCGACTACACGAGTGTGGAGGAAGCTTTTATTAGCTGAGTGAATTGGAAATGTGTGAACACTCATTGATCAGTGGTATATATCTCATTGATTAGAAATACAAGTCATCTCTCGACCAATCATGTGCATTTATCTTTTACCCTGTATCCAAATTAATCAACATATCAGTATCACCATTAATTCAGTTTAGTTTTTTCATTGTACCAATCAATCAATCAATTCAAAATGTTATTTATTACATGAAACTACTTTTGTGCAACTGGTGACTTACATTTCTTGAACTTGAACTTAATAGGTAAATTAAATTCAGAAGAATTCTATGTCGATTTAAGACCCATTTTGTGTGGGTAAGTGAATGTCATTCATTTTTATGTCAATGGAAAATCAACTTTTAATGAATGTCACAATAACTAATAATTTATATGATCAGAATTGTTAGACAGATAGCATATTACTTAATTAAATCACCTTAGAATATGTAGTTCCTTGTGAATTTTCTCCCTGTAGGCTCAAATGAACATTCCACACTATGGAATACAATGTTTGATATAAAGGTTATATTTCATTCTGCTAGAAACTAGCTGTTTTCATTCATGATTGGAATGTTTGTTTCATAAAATTAAAATAGCTCATTGTGTCACTGAATAAAAATGGAGAGAATTCAGTGAAGAAAACTTTTCTTTAGACGAAATCATTTACTTAATCTGAACATTCGTGTTTATAGTTATATGGAAAATATATATATATAGAAAGATAGAAAAGATTGCATCAGAAACTGATTCGAAACTCTTATTATCAAAGGAGGTTACTCAATAATCAAGGGGATCGAAGGGAATTTGAGTCAATATTTTATGTACTGCTGGGCCACTGTCGATCCACGAACTTAAGCCCGAATTCAGTTTTTACGATTATGACCTATATCTTTCTCGTTTTTCCTCAAATCTGTCAATTGGACAATTATTTGAACCGTAAATTATTTTCATCCTTATATTATATGCTATTACCCCTTGATTATGGCATAACCTCATTTGATAATAAGAGTCTCGAATCAATTCATGATGCATTCTCTTCCATCCTTCTATAAACACATATTTTCCATATAACTATAAATAGGAATGTATAGCATAAGTAAATGTTTATTTTATAATTAAACAGTGTTCAGCTTAATCTTTGATAGTGTAATTGTATTTCAACTACCCTTAAAAATCTTTTAATTAATATAATTTGGATAATTATCAGAAAGTGAGTTTTGTAGAGATGGTAGTAATTTATTAGTTGAATTCATGATTCGATTCAAGCTAGACTACCACGGAAAACCTGGAAGCACTGAACGGCCGTTATTTGCTGTAGTCCTAGTGAGAAGCCATAACTAGTGGTGTTCAACTGTGTTTGGTGTGAGGCAGTGACTCAATGAAGATAATGTTGCATGGTGACGCGGTTCAAGTTAGACATTAACACCGTTGGATACTGGCCGACTTAGTGGTCCAGAGATTAAGTGTTCATGTGTGAGACTAGGACACACTAGGACAACACGTCCGTCCAGTGCTTCCACGTTTTCCTTGGTAATTTATCTTTAATCGACTCATGAATTCAACTATTATATTTCGATAATTTGTCACCTCGATGGAAATGGTGCAGATTTAGCAAAGAATCAAGAATCCATTTATATTTGTGCCAAATCGCATGACAAATTGTTTAATAGTCGTTATTTCATGTCATAATAATAATAATATGTATGCTTAGTGTGAAATGGGAAGCCTTTTATATTCAATTCTCATGCAATTATATTGTAGAAACAACTGCAAAATTTGTTCACTTATTGTTTGCGTAGTCTTATATGTACGCAGTTATTCAGCTAACGTGTTTGTTCACATTAAAAGTGAAACTTGAAAAGACAGAAACTATATTATAATGTGCCAAGTTCAATTAGGTTCTTCTATTGAACGACCTATTTAGGAACAGCATATAACTCAACCATTCATGCTTTCCAGAGATCATATTCTATGAAGTCTAGTTATTATTAGTATGACTATTACTATGACTTCAGTTCATACAATTGATTTGAATGCTGTTCCTACATCATTGAAGTAGTCTAGTACTTTGTTGAAAACCATCTGAGATATTAGTGAAATGTTTTACTAAGATTTTCATCAAAATGTGATGTCTTAATATTTAGGGCTTTCATTGCCATTTGTATGTTCTGAAATGAATATTTTATTCACTGAACTGATGCTGTGATTTCGTATTTTACAGATGGTCTCATGGAAAACTTAAAGACAAGGGTCTAACTTACGAGACAAACTCACAACACATAAACAATAATAATAATGATAAGAATGAGAATGAGAATAAGAAAGCCATATCAAGTTGTCCATTTACTGGTCAACAATATACCAGCAACACGGATCGACGGAAATGTATTGGAGCAAGTGCAGCACAGTCAATAACGATTCAGACGTGTGACGCATTTTTCCAGATAAAACATGATCCTGGTAAGTAATCCATTCAACATTTAAACTGTGTTCGATTTCTAACTTCATTATTTCATTGTACATTCTACACAACTGCTATCTGTATGGTGGAATTCAGTGGGAGTCCTTTTATTTTGACGTTACTTGGTGGTATAATTAAATAAGCATCGACAAATTAACGAAAAGAAGTGATACACGCTTCAAAATTTCCGTCGAAATGTTTAATAGTATAATAATTGCATACCTATGCCTATTAACTGCCGTGAATGAGCATATATTGCCCACCAGCATACTCCATCCACATCTGTCCTGGTCAATCCACTCCAATTGTTTCCAGTTTCTATTCATCTCATTCATGTCTGCTTCCGATTCTTGGCATAGCATATTCTTTGGTGTTCCTCTTCGCCGTTTCCCTTAAGAATTCCATGATAGCTCTTGACTCGTGATGCAGTTTCATGATTTCCGTATTGTGTGTGTTACCCACCTCCAGCGTCTCTTCTTAATTTCCTCATCACCTGGAAATCGGTATGTTCTCACCTACAGTAAACTGTTTCTGATAGTATGTAGTCAACGGACACTGAGAATCTTGTGTAGGCAATTGTTTAGAAATGCTTGTACTTCTGTGATGATGGTTGTAGTACTTATCCAAGTTTCAGCTCCATTCAGCAGAACTATGTTGATGTTAGTATTGAAGATTCTGAGTTTGATATTGGTTAATAGTTGTTTCAAGTTCCATTCGTTGTTCAACTGTGGGAATGCTGTGCTTGCGTTGCCAGTCTTTCGCTTCACATCTACATGAGATCCCCCTTGCTAATCGATGTTGCTGTACAGTTACATGAAGGATTCCACATCATACAGAGTTATCTCATCTAGCTTAAATGCGCTGGTGTTCCCCTCGTCGTATTTGAGGGTCATGCTTTTTCCATGAAGAATGTTGAGGTCTGCAGATGCACAGGCTGCTTCTGTCAAACTGTTTGTCTTGACCTGGATTTGTTGATGTGTAAGGGATAAAGAGACCAGGTCATCTGCAAAGTCCAAACCGTCTAGTTGCATGCAAGCTCTCCATTGGATTTCTTGCATCCCCTCCAATGTGGAGGTCTTCATAATCCAGTCAACCACCAAAAGAATGAGAAAGGGTGAGAGTATGTTACCTAATCTTTCTCCGGTCCTCATTTGGAATGAGTTTGTCAGCTGTCATCCATACTCCACTTAGCAGTGTGGTCCGTTTTGTGAAACCTGAATAATGTTGGCGATTATTTCAGGTACACCACAGTGTCGAACAATGTTGCATATGTTTCTCCTGTCCATACTGTCCAACGACATCTCATAGTCAAGGAAGTTGACGTATACTGATGAATTCCATTCAGCTGATTGTCCAACGATGATCTGTAGTGTCGCGATTCGGTTCGTGCACGACCAATCCTTACAGACTCCGACCTGTTGATGTCGAAGTTGGGCGTCGACTGAATCTTTCATCCCATACAGCAACACTCTGTTGAAAACATTTCCTGATTCCGGCAGTAGTGTGATGCCTCTGTAGTTCTCACATTCAGTATCTTGATGAGATATCCTTCTTTCTAGTCTGTCGGTGACACTTTTCCTTCACCCCAAATTTTCCCCAATAAAACTTGGATCATGTTTGCAGTTACTTCTATGTTTGACTTCGGTGCTTCGACTGTTATATTGTCAGGTCCTGCTGCTTTCCCACTCCTGATGATCATGCAGATTTCTTCGATCGCTGTAGTGTGACATCTATAGGAAGGTCTTTGTGTGATGCTTCAAAGTCCTGTGGATTCAGTGGGGCTGGTCCATTTAAGAGTTCCTAGAAGTGTTCTATCCATATGTTCATCTGTTCTTAAATTTCCTTCTTTGTCCTTAACCGGTCTCTGCGGTTTATGATATTTCCCTGGTAGCTTCGTCGTCGTGCCATATAGTTGTTTCATGTTTCCCTCTCACTGCTTTTTCGGCTGTCGTTGATATTTCTTCCACGTATTTGTAGCTGTCGGCTCTAATACTGGTCTTCGCTTGTTTGCTTCTGTGCACTCAGCATTGCCTTGCCTTTCTCTGCTGTTGTTCGACTGCAATTGATTGTTGTCTTCTTTTTCTTCATTTCTTGAGTCCTATTCAGGGTTATGATAGAGATTCATTCCTTATGATGACACTCGTTACGACCCAGAACCACCTGACACGTTGAAGTTAGTGCTTCTTTGATTCCTTTCCAAATGTTCTCCATAATGCTTCCTTCTTCTTTCGATGGATTCCGTAAGGCTTTGAACTTCTTGTTGAGAACTACCCTGAATTCACTGGGTTTGTCAGTACTTCGAAGGAAGGCTGTATTGAACCTTTGTAGTGCAATTTGTCCAGTTGTCCAATGCTTATTCAGCTTCAGTTTCAACCACAATCAGGTGATGATGAAGCCATGTCAGTTCCTCTCTTTGTTCTCACATCTTCTGTTTACTTTCTTAATTTGTTAGTGATGCACATATGATTTATCTGATTCTCTGTAGTGAGGTCCAGTGAGACCCATGTAACTTTATGTATGCGTTTATGGGAGAATATTGCGCCACCTATGATCAGTATGTTGGATGAACATATACTTTCAAATTTCTCGCCATTTTTGTTTCTTTCTCTCAATCTATGTCGTCCCATGATATCTTCAAATTAAATGTTTTCCATTACGACTTTAGCGTTTAGGTCTCCTATCAGGGTGATCAGGTCCCTTCCTGAGCACTTAGCTATGATTGATTACAGTCTCTTGTAGAACTGATCTTTATCGTTGTGATTGCCAACATTGGATTACGTTCATTGTAATTTCCTCCTTCTCTCTTTTTAAAGACATTTTGATGATCATGGGTCCATGAGATTTTCACCATACAAGTGCTTTGTGTGCTTGTCTGGGCAACATCACAGCAACTCCCTGAATGTGTGGAGCATTTTCCTCTTCGTGATCGAAATACAAAAGCATCTTTTTGTACCTAACCTTTTCTGTCCAGTTTGCGCCCGATGAGTTCCATCTATTCCGAGAACCATCAACTTGTATTTCTTCATTTTTTTAGCTGTGTGGTTGTTCCTGCCGGTCTCTGTTTACCTACATTAATTGTTGCTCCGATTGTTAGAAGGGGGATCAGCCCCGTGACTTCCGAAGAATCTCGTCTTTCACGATGAGGCGTCATAATTCGTATAAATGAAGATCCTTCAACTCAGAGTTCAGAGTTCGAATGGTTTAATTTGTTTAATCTGGTTACAGTTACCTTAGCAAGACTGTTTTCTATGGGACAGGGATTCTGACCCCATACCAAACCCTCCTCACTTAACCTGTCTTGAGACCGACAATAACCCTCGAAATGCTACAGGAGGTGTTTTACAGTTCAGTAAAGTGAAAATAATGAAAAACTGAATACACGACTATGAGAAAAATGTTCCCTATGAATATACACTCTCTACTGTAATCACGGGGTTAATTGGTGTAGACACCTATCCTACATCATCCAATCATGATCATCATTTGCCATAAATCAAACACCTCTCTGTTCATATTGGTTTTGTTTTTCAAGAGGATGAAAAATTCTTCCGTAATATGCAGACATATATGATAAAAGAACATCGACAGTTTCTTCAAGATCTAGCAATGCACAGTCGAATCCGTTGTATAGGTAAGTTCCAGAGATTAATTAATGGAAATGCTACTATATGATTGAATTTAACTTATAGTTGAATATAAATAGATTTCATAACTAATGCCTTTTGTTTGTCTGATTATGGGTTTTAGACCAAATGGATACTATGTCACAACTAATCTTATATTCGATTTCATTACTTAGCCCCATCTCTTAATCATTGAGCTTCAACGTCTAGTTCAAACTTATGTGCTATATTTTACGTGGTTCTATTTATCATAATCCTATTAGGAAAACCTGGTGTTTGGTAATTTCTTATTTTATTTTTATTGAATTTGTGAATTTCGACAAATGTATGGAGGTGGTTAGATAGTCAGAACATTGATTGTCATACCGGTCATCATAATTTTGATTACGTAGATGTGTGTCAATGTTTTTTTTAAAACAAGGTTATAGGATCTATTCAATGACAATAAATTGATGTGAGCGTATTTTCATCTGAAACCGTCGTCAGTTCAATTACTACTGAGTATCAACCATACACTACTAAATAGAAGTTTATTAGTTAAATATAAAATCCTTTATTCGGAGGAAATCCGAGACCCTGGTTTTGAATTCCGCTAGTGTGATCGTGACTGCGCACTGCTGAATAGTCGCATAATAGGGCGAAACGGCCGTTCAGTGCTTCCAGGTTTTCAGCGGTGGTCCAACATCTAGCAGTTCATGACCTAAATCAAAAATTTATTTAAATGGAATGTACTTTTGATAATTGGTTTTTGATGACATTCAGTGTGTTTAAATATACTACTGCAATTTATGAATATTTGAAGTGAGTTAAGTAGATGATAGTGATCAATTAATGTAGTTTGTGTATATTGAACACTGAATAAAGTTCATAAGAAGCAGTAACTAAGTGTTTTTGCTATGAGATTTGAATGTTTTGATACAAGTCGTGATACAAACCTCTGGTAGGACGTTGGTTGACCAAGAAAAAGTAACTTTCCTGTTTAGATTAGTTGTTTTTTTCTCCTGAAATAACTCTGTTTATATCGTTAACACAACAGGTTTTCGTTACATGATTATGAACTCAATCACATAACATCATGATACCAACATTTCGATTTGTTCTTTATACATCATCGAATCACTCGCTATTGAAATTTTACTTAATATTTAGTTGCTGAAAGCAAATCTTCTCGTATGAGAACAGCCTATAATCAATGTCTTCAATCATTGTGGAATTTCCGAAATGCTCACATATCATTAGTTAAAAGGTAACTATAGAATAAATGTTAGTTTATTGGAAAATGAATAATTACTTTTCATTAGATTCATTATACAACCATCACAAAGTGCAGATGCTAGAATAAAACAACTTGATATTAAAGGAACAGGTGGTCAATGTAAGTCCTTTTTGATCAATCAATTTCTATTTTGATTGAGATCATGAAAGGATGAATGTTAGACCACAATGGTAAAACTGGAATCACTGGACGACTGATTCGTCTTTGTATTTGATTTCTGAGAAGTGCGCATCCACGATCATGTTTGCGGCGTTCGAATACAATACATTCGTTCTCGCATGTGGGATCGCAGGTGCGCACTGCTCAAGAGTCCCATATCAGGATGAAACTGTCGTCCAGTGCTTCCACGATTTCAATGGTGGTCTAACATTCATCCATTCATGATCTCAATCAAAACTCAACAATCTCCATAACCCGTCACCGACATTTTCTATGTGTATACAATTTCAGGTTTAAATATCTTTCTTCAACGTGTACGAGATGCAACACTTTCTGCAACTTTGGTTTAATTAACCTGCTTCGAAATGATATCAGTTTATACAAGAATGTAATTTTTCTGTTTTATGAACATCTTGAGTAAAATATACTTGATATTTTAATAGTTTTCTTCTTCGTCTTCTTCATTAACATTTGAAATGAACGGTAGATAAATTGAGATTTGGACAGTACTGTAGTTTCTAGTATTAACTTAAGTGATAATCTCAATGCTTGCTATCAGTAGTAGGTCGTTTCCCAATGTCTGACGTCTAGATGTCGCACTTTTGTTTATTTTCACGTGATAGAATATATAATCATTTGTTCATCGATTTTATGAGAATTGTTTTCACATGGAAGCTGATCGCTTGTGTGTAATGCTATGGCAAATATTGAGGGGTTGGTAACGATTTTATCTGCAACACCTTTAGAATCGAAGGATCTCAAATCCGGTGAAACTAGAAATCAGGAATGAAGGAGTCCAAAGATACTTTTGAAAAGTCGTTGATGTGTTAGGCAGCATTCGATCTAATACGGCTAGTTGTTTCAAGGAATACTTAGAACGGTGTGCACAGTGATCCAGATTAAATTCTTTGCGCTGCTTATTAACTTGTAGTGATTCACATTTATCACGAGAACACGACTGGTTTAATAAAAACAATTATTATTATAACCAAGTGTACCAGTGGCTGTTTTAATGTGCTTTTGTTTGACTTTGCTAATGACAGCTATTTTGTGCTTCCATTCTTATTCTCACACTTTGATTGTAACTTCGCGCAAATTCGATTACCTTCTGTAACCAAGGTTGTATCCTGGCATGATCTCGGTATCCTTTTGATGCCACGAGATCGCCAGCTAATAAACCTCGACTTGGTCCATTAATTGCCTTCTGATATTTGGCTTCTCGGGGATTTTATGGATCTATTTGGTTACGTTCGACCTACGCCTTCTGATTTATCTGGCACGTGTTTCTTGGTAGCGGTGTTCATAGTTAATCTCAACTCGACGCCACGCTACAAATTAATGTACTATATGCATCATCATCACCCTCTACTTTATTTAAAACAGACATGTTGAATGTACATATGTGCATACTTATTTTGAAATACGATATTTCAATGAACATCTGATGATCGAACGCATCAGTTCGATTAGATTGTTCAACTTTTGCTCAGCTGTTTGATTGTTTCGAATACTTCACATGTGAATACTTCCAATATACTCCTGTTTGATTGCCCATCTAATTGATAGTTCTACCCCACTACTATACTGTGTTATAAATACTTGAGAAATACTGACCGTTTGACACTTGGAACATTTTAGATTCTTTGCAGTACGATGCAGAGTAGATCATTCTAACACAATTCTGGATTTATTTCACTACATTACAATTACAGCATATTCGATACTCAATGTCATTTCTTTCTTAATACAATTTCTGGTGATCCTAATTGACAGAGTCCATACAAAACCGCTTGGCTCTACGACAGAGTAAGTACGTAATACCAGTAATGATGTGAGCACCAACGTTAGATCTGGTGATCTTGTGTGTTAGAGATCTAACTTGCCATCAAACCACGATAACTCATTTGAAGACAATAGAGTCTCGAATGTCCACACGTTATTTTGTACCATTCTAGGCTGTGGTAAGCGACCGCACGTCAATTAGCCAAGACAAAGAGGTGAACTGAGAGAGCTTCATTCAAAAGCAGGTTCTGTTTCAAGAATCTTTGGCAAGACTACAACTTACAGACAAACCAGTGAAGTTAATGTGAGTGAATCCTGCATTTTGGCGTGAAATTTATTCATTCATATAGTTAAATAGCACTTTGATATTGCAGCTGATGTCAGTCAGTGGTGAAAACCTTAATTTTGATGACTAAAGTCAAATTCCAATCCTAATTCACCATACTAGTTTATAACCCTCTTCCAACAATGGTGAGTGACTTGTTCAGACACCATTGTGGTGTCTCTTATAGGTCGCCCATAAGTTTTGGCATCACCAAATCTGCATTATCAGTAACTAACAAATTGCATTATTAAACAATATACAAAGGTTCTTCGTATTGATTCTACATGCAATGCTAATAACATGAAAATTAGACGTTGTTTGATAACTTTATTGAATAGGTTTCCGTTGTTTCAGTTAGTGATTGTGGCTTCAGTACTTAATAACTTTGGAATGAAGAATAACAGTTGAGGTTATTTTAGACAAGCATGCTCCTGTGTAGTTGGAACTCATAAAAGGTTCTCGGGTAAAGATCGGGCCTTCGAATTTCTGTGAATTTACCTTAACAAATATTACCACCTGGTTATTCAGCCAATCATCAAATTAGGTTGAACAAATAGACGTTCCTATTAATATAGGAATACTGTTCTGTTCTTTCTGGATAGATCATGTAATGTCTGTTCAAAAGGTTCTATTGAGTTTTGCTGCAACACCGAGTGCTTCCAATTTCGAAAGACTACTTCAATTCACACAAAAATTTACAATCCTAATCAGTTCAAGTAACACAATCGGAAAGAGAAACCAAATAATATGGCAGCAGCAATAATTAAGCATCAGGTAAACAAAGTTGACATGGTTTATGAGAAGCATAGAAATTTCTGAAATCGATGCATTCAGAACCACCTATCAACAAGCTGACATAATCACATGAGGCCTTCATCTCCCCTGTGTTTTCAGTAGAAAAGCGCGTAAATGCAGACTAATAACATTTGACTTCAACTAGTAATAGTATTGAACAATTCATTATTGCTGCTTAGCAAATGCTGAATTGTTGCATGTTAATGCCTAAAATGCAGTCAATCTTCTTAACTAAATCAAAATTTCAAAATAGTGAATCGAAGGAGTCGGGGTTTATGAGGGTATCTGAGTCTGTATTGGCTCAGTTGAAAGGCTATGTGGCCCCCAGTCTTCAGTAGCCACATTAGGCCACACTGAGCAACAACACGAATAATCGTGTGCAGTCATTGAGGGTTCAGTTAAATAGATATGTACATAAAATTGATTCCTTGCACAAATGCACATTGAATGTGTACATAAGGAATCCCAGATGATCAGCAAGAAAAATCATGGAACACTGTATACCTAACACTAATTATAAGGTGATCCAGTCTTTCTCAAAAGACGAATAATTCCTTATGGTATGGAGGAGAAATACATAAGAAATTGGATGATTTGCGTGCAAAAGGTATAATTGAACTGGTTCAGTCTTCAGCTTGGGGTACTCTTATTGTTACGCAATTGAAGTCGGATGGCAAGACCCCTGGAGTATGTAGTGACTATAGATTGACCCTGAACTCCCGTTCAGGTTGACTGAAGAGATGCTTATCTCCAAATCCCTTTAGAGCAATCTTCATCTATTTTGGAGATAATTAGCACTCCTTTTAGTATGCTCAAATACAACTTCCTTCCGTCTGGTCTAAGTTGTTCTCCAGCCATATTTCAGGAAGTTATGAATAAGGTAGTTAGTAATCTCAAAGGTGTTGAAGTTTATCAAGATGATCTCATTGTTCATGGTTCTGATAAGGTAGTTCATAACTAGAGACTTATTGCCTTATTGCGTTGTTCAATTGAGGAGAATATTACAGTGAATCCAAATAATTGTTCATTTTGTGTATCTAGTTTCGAATGTCTTGGATACTTATGTGATGGTAATGGTTTTATACTGGATATGAAAGGACTAGCTCCACCGACAAATGCACCGTCCCTAAAACATCTAACAGAACTACGTTCACTAGTTCCTGTTCTTCAATATTATCCCAGCTTTATTCTTAATTTTTCTTGTCGTGCCAATTGTTTACTTAATATTTTGACGTTCAATTCATCCAAATGGGGTGAGGAACAGGAGTCATGCTTATAAAGTCCACTAAAGTTTCTTCACTGTGATGCTGTTCTTCGAACTTCATAACCTAGTGTAGATTCTATACTTATTACAGATGCATCATCTGTGGGTATTGACGCAGTTTTGGAGCAGGAACGTAGACCAACTATCTGCAAACTAAATGTTACTGAACAAGGTTATTTACAAACTCAGCGAGAAGCATCAGCTGTGTTTTGGGCTGTATAAAGGTTCCATAAATATTAATTGGGAAAGAAATTCACTATTGCTACTGATCGTGAAGCTCCAAAGTTTAGTTATCATCCTGAACATTCGTTAGCACGTTCCTCAGCTGCTATGGTTCAACGATGGAGTATTGTTTTAAGTGCCTATGACTATACAGTTCAGCACAGAAGTGCCATACAAATTCAACATGTTGACTACATTTCCCAACAATCATTACAAGGTAGACCTGTTAGTACTTCAGGCTGTTTTTTAGTGCAACGTTTACTGGTAAGACGTCCAGATCTCATTGGAGAAACTCGTAGATATTTTGTATGTATACTCAACCCAATACGGAAAAGTTGGAGTGCAGATCGGAAACGTAGATTTCCTGTCTAGTTTTCAAAGCGGGATGAGCTATCCACTACTCTCGGTATTTTGTGTTTAAATGGCCGTGTTGTCATTCCTCCTTCATTGCGAAAATCTGTCTTTAAAGATCTTCAAAGCGGGCATTTAGGTGCTCAGAAAATGAAGTCCTTGGCAATGCTCACATATTAGTGGTCAGAGATAAATGCAGATCTATGTCGTACAGCAGACAATTGTGAAAAGTGTCATAAGTTGAAAAATCAGCTTTTGAAGTGGATCCTATGGTCTGTATCGTCCGAGGCCTAACATAGAATTCATGAAGATTACTGTTGTTCAGTTCTTGGCAAACACTATGCACTTGTAGTCATTGATTCTTTTTCTAAGTGGCCTAATTTTTTTCACCAATTCACCGAATTCTGATTTCACAATCCAAACATTAAGAAAGTTGTTTGGTCGAGAAGTGGTTCCCATGGTGTTAGTGACCGATAATAACTCTAGTTTTGTTGCGGTAACAGTCACTATCTGGTTGAATGACGTAGGGTGTAGACATCTGTTCACTGTTTCCAGAAAACCTTTTTCTAATGTTGAGGCAGAAAAGTTTGTCAGGAAATTGAAAACTGATATTGATTTTACTGCTGCCCCAAAATTTAATGGGCTGGAGTGAGGAGTAGATAATTTTTTACTCCAATACAGAAACGCTAAACATTCTGTGACGAAAGAGGCTCCATCAAAGCTATTAAAATGAGGAATTCTTCGTTCGAATATGAAATGTTTCGAGTCTGCATATGTTGCACACTATCGTGGAAATGATCTTTGACCAGCCACGGGGATTGTTGTGAAGAATGTTGAGAAATCTATGGTGCAAATTTTAGATATCAATGATTTAAGCAAACACAATCAATATCTTGATCAAATACAATTCCGGAAAATAGGTGAGTCTGTTCCAATTTCTGTTGTTCATTATAATATTAATAAGTATATTTTAGATAAAACAGAGTCTTTATCCAGTGCATTGTCGGATAAACACAGGATGAACTTAAGAAGGCGTACAATCGATTACAGACACTTAGACTCCAATTTAAGCTGTGACGGTTTTGATGTTTGTATGAACTAACGATTCCTTATTACTTGCTGAATGCTTCATTTCAAGTTCCAAATACAGTACATTGGTCTATGTTTATCTATTACTTCTTGATCCAATTACATTACTTCTGATATTCCTAGTTTGTACTGTATTTCTAATGCTCCTAGTCACATCACCTTGGCAAATAATACCACCGAGCTATTCAACCAATAATTGTTCACTCAGTAGTCAAATCTAGATTACATCAAATAGATAAATTGACAAAGGGTATGAGTGAAATACTAGGTACAACAAATAAATATTATTCTAACCTCTGTAGCTGGATTACTTACAGACTGTTCGAAAAAAAATATTTAACTTCGTTATAACACTGAGTGTTTCCAATTCTAGAAGAATGCTTCAGTTCACAGTCAAGAATGCGCAGTTCCAGTTAACGCAATGAACACAATCAAAGAGAGGTGTAACGTGTGTTATCGGCGTTTATTTGAGTGCAGGAGGGATCTAAAATCAACAGCATGCTAGCCAGGATCAACAAAAGTCTGAGGAGGAAGATTAAAACATGCAACCAGCAAATGTGGTTCTGTTACATAAGGGTAAATTTATTTCAGAAACAGTCTCATATCACTTCACACATGCAGTTGTTTTTCCTCACGTAGCACATAAACCCTGTCGTGCCATGTAATAACAATATGTATTCACATCAATAAGACTACATACAATAACTTTTAATATTGTTACACTATCCCGTCTGTCCGTGAGACACTATCCTCAGTGCCTGATTGAGGACAGGGGTATGTCACACCACCTTCTGATGGTACTTCGAAATAGCTGGTGGTGAGTGGGGTGTTGGCAAAATAGTTATCTAAATGCACTGTCGTTCGGTCCGGTTACGACATGCTGTAGTATGTTGTTGCAACGCCGCTCAGAGGCCGCTGAATGTCACGCGACACAAAGGTAGTTGGCGATCGAACAAACACAATTTCGCAGAGACCTTGCAATGGAGAATAGAGCTTGCTGCATGTTTCTGTGTTAGATAAGATAGCACTGCTGGGATAGCTACTTCACCATCCAGGTCTGTCATCATTCAGTCAGTCAGTCAGTAACAACGTAGAACTTTGCACGTACGTACATCAGTTCGAGTTGCCACACCACATTAGCACAGAGATGCAGTGGTCGATTCAATCGAGTCACACCAATTTTACTAGTCACAATTTTCTAGTTACTGATTCGTTGAACGTTTATTATTTATGCGTGAAGGTGTGCGGATCTGTTTATCCATTTATCGAATAAAATGTATGCTTATTATCAGACAGACCAGAACAATAAACGTACGCATGAAGCAGGAAAATTAACCCTCTAGTCAGCTCTACAAATTTGTGTCTCAAGTTATGCAACTTGCTTACATGACGATTAAAAAGATTAGGATGAAATAATGCACAAATATAATGTACACGTGAGAACGTACAACGTCGCTGGAAGATTTAACAGGGACATGTACAAAAAATGTTCGTGTGTAGCATATCACCAAGAATAATTTTGATTGGTGTAGGAAGAGGACAGATAGTAACTAATTATTCACATGCTGCCATTCCATATACGGAGAGGTTTGCATGTGGTACTACAGACTACATGTAAACTAACTCAACAGCCCACTGAATAATCAAACTGATTGGATAAACGACAGTGATTATCAAATCAAAATGAATTCTCGTCACATTGTATGAATGACCATGACATTCATCATTCGGTACAAACCACAGACGATTCACTCTGCATTACAACGCTGTAGTATTTAAACACAGTCTGCTGATAGAATTTGGCTGAATTGCAAATCTCATAGCATATTTCATATTACACGTCTCACTGTTGTCTGAGATTATCTAGGAAATACACGGAAATAAAAGATAATCGAACAGTAAAGGATCTGGTAAGAATTCGCACTTCGGACAATCATGATCAAGCTGAAAGAAGTTGGGACATAGCGCTGTGTCACACATGTTGTATCATTCAAGCCCTTTCAAGTTTATGTCTATCCCAGAAGTATTTTCTGATCGAAGAAATAGCTGGGAAGCATGCATCAGAATCTGGAAAGACGAACAAGCGAAAATATGAGTCGATCACTTATGAGCTCATCGTCTGCTCATAAAAGCAGGTGACAACATTTGAAAATGATATTAGCGTTTGATGAGAGCTACCTGATAATCAAAACTATGTGTCCATATAGTAAGATGTCAAATGAGTTAGGATTTCTCACGTAAACTTTCTCATAACAAAACAATAAGTTATCAAACCCATCGCGCTTTGGCCACCCTACTTTGTTGTTACTTGAATAACTCATGGGTGAGAGAAGTCAGTGTCAGCCACGAGTTCTAGATGAGTTCTGACAAACCAGCAACAACATGTTTGTTTTCATAAAGACTACGTGGTAAAAGATGAACAAAAACATTTCGCCGGCGTCATAGTTTGAGTTTTCTTCTTAGCTCCAAAATGTTCACCTATTGAATGGATTTGTTTGAGTCAGCTAAAACCAATTTTTGAATATTTACATCGGATTGTGTATCAGTTGAATATCTTTTCCGTTGGATTGTGTTTCCGGTGTTTCTGTTTTCATTCTCGTATTACTGATTCTAATGATAAATTACTTTTCTGAGTAAGTTTTTCCTTCCTCATAGATTCATTTTTCTCTGGTTTGTCCATTTTTGTATCTTATTTCCCACATATACTCTGTAAACTTGATATTAGGTGAAAATAAAGAATATTGAGTGAGAAGTCGTTGTGAATTAGTTTTATCCTCAAGACATGTAAAGCTGTCTGAGGGCCAGTGATTAGTCGAAAATGTCAACTAAAATCTGACATACCATAAACAATAGGGTCATCTTCTGAAAGATTTACTTCGTCGAAATTATCGGCATTACTATTTGTATTTAAACAACCTTAGTCAAAACAAAGACTGAAGAAAATACTTTCGATCACACTTTTGTCATTCTTTTGTACGTTGAGGCCGATCAGAATTATCTTGATTTGCAACTATAGTTCGTGTTTGCTTCAATAAACATGTATTTAATGTGGACTTCGGGCCGTTGCATAAATCAAGCTTTTCACTATCAGATTTCTGAACGTAACAGTATAATTACTCTAAGCAGAAGTTTGGGCTGCCTGTTATTCTTTAACCATATAAGTCAATTAGTGATTCTTCGACTGGTTATCTAGGACTTCTGGGACTGACTCTCATTTTGAAGAAAAATAAAATGATTTCATCCTAAAAGTTATACAGACGTTACTTTCATTCCATTGTCTCAATTACGAAACTCAGCTATTCAATACTGCAGTTACTTATCAGAAATATCCTCAACAGTGAAGAAGTTTATAA